AGAGTCGAAGATTCTCTGGACAAGCTGCGATGCGCGAAGTATTTTTCGTCCATCGACTTGAAGAGTGGTTATTGGCAAATAGAGGTCGATGAACGTGACCGGCAAAAGGTCGATTTTGTAACGCCGGATGGCCTTTATGAATTCAAAGTGCTTCCTTTCGCCCTCTGTTCCGCTCCAGCTACATTCCAGCGAATGATGAACACCGTCCTGGCAGACCTCAAGTAGAAAAGCTGTCTCGTCTCCCTCGATGATGTCGTTGTGTTTTCAGAAATGTTTGTCGAGCATCTTCGTCGCCTTCGGAATGTGGGCGAAGCCATTAGATCGGCCAATCTCACACTCAAGTCTGAGAAATGTGATTTCGGCTACGAAGAATTAAAGTTTCTTGGTCACGTCGTGAGCGCCGTTGTTGTTCGGCCTGATGCTGACAAAACTGCTGCCGTCACCTCTTTTCCACCTCCAACTGACAAGAAACGTCTTCGACGATTTCTGGGTCTGTGTGCGTAGTACCGGCGCTTTATTGAAAACTGCTCTAACATTACGGAGCCACTATTACGTCTCACGCGTGATGACACACCATTTGTCTGGGCTGACGAACAGCAGACTGCCTTTGCGGAACTACAGCACCGGCTCTCTTCCCCTCCCGTGCTCGGCCACTTCGAAGAAGATGCTGACACTGATGTACGCACTGATGCCAGTAATATTGGTCTTGAAGCTATTTTGGTACAAAGACAAGATGACATTGAACAGGTAATAGCCTACGCAAGTAGCACACTGTCTCGCGCAGAATCTAACTGTTCCACATCAAAGAAAGAATGTCTCGTGGTCATTTGGGCAATTACAAAGTTTAGGCCATATCTCTATGGAATACCATTTAAAGTAGTGACTGACCATCATGCTTTGTGCTGGTAGACCAATCTACGAGACCCTTCAGGACTATTAGCACGATGGAGTCTGCGCCTACAGAAATTTGATGTCACCATCGTGTACAAGTCAGGCAAAAAGCACGAAGACGCCGACACACTATCACGAGCACCTCTTCAATCCGCCAGTACTAGCGCAGAAGAGGACGGCGCCTTCGTGGCAACTATTAGCGGACCGAATCTGATGTCTCATCAATGAAATGACGCCGATCTAAGAATGATTATAGATCACTTAAAAGATGGCACCGCGCCCATTCCTCGTCCGTTGTCGTGAACGTTGCCATCAATTTGCCTACTAAATGGCGTCTTATACAAAAGAAACGCCGGTGCTGGTGACAGATCTCATATTCTCGTCGTGCCTGAAGCCCTCCACGATGACGTCTTATTAGCTTGCCACGACGAGCCCACATCTGGCCATCTGGGCTACTCGAGAACTATGGATCGGGTGCGACAACTCTACTACTGACCTAAAATGTCTGCCTGTGTCAAATGCTACGTAAAGGGATGCCGTGAATGCCAGCGTCGCAAGACACCACATTTAAAGCCTGCAGGCCATATACAACCGATCGATCCACCACGTACACCGTTTGAACAAGTGGGGATGGACCTCCGAGGCCCGTTTTCTGTCTTCTTCTGGCAACAAATGGATCATTGTCGCAACCAACTACTTGACGCGTTACGCTGAGACAAAGGCGTTGCCACGAGGGACCGCATCTGAAGTTGCCAATTTTTTATGCGTCAAATTGTGCTACGGCATGACGCCCCATCATATGTCATCACTGATCGAGGGACATCATTCACAGCGAAACTCTTGGATGATATCTTCAGGTTGAGTTACAGAACCCATCGAAAGACCACTGCGTATCACCCTCAGAGTAATTGTTTAACAGAAAGGCTAAACAAAATGCTAACCGACATGATCTCTATGTACGTGGATGTGCAGCACAAAACGTGGGACGACATCCTGCCGCACGTAACATTTGCGTATTGCACTGCAACGCAGGAAACTACACGCTTCACGCCATTCCGGCTCGTTTATGGTCGAGATATTAGAACTATGCTAGACGCCATGATTCCGTATGAGGATATCGACAAGCTCGACCAATTAGCCCCCGACATCAATGAGTACATTCAGCGCGCTGAGGAAGCACGTCAACTGGCCCGTGTACACATCCAAACTCAACAGTACGCAGATGCACGGCGGTACAACATCCGTCATCAAGAAGTTAATTATGAACCTGGTGATCAAGTTTGGGTTTGGACACCCATTAGGCGGCGAGGTCTCAGTGAGAAACTCTTGAAGAAGTACTTTGGACCTTACAAAGTACTCAGACGTGTGAGTGACGTGAACTACGAAGTGGTTCCAGACGGAGGCTCACCATCATCCCAGCGCAGGTTACCACGCCCAGAGACTGTACACGTAGTCCGCCTAAAACCATACTTTACGCGGTGATGCGAATTTTCTTCTTGTGCCAATGAACTCTTCATGTGAACAGTGAATGCCGTTTATTTCCGATTGCCGGGCCCAGGACGCATTTTCTCTCGCGCACTAATTTGTATAGTGTTTCTTTATGTTGCCTACTTCGACCCACTGCTGTGCACACTTTTGTTTGAGCATCGGGTCGATCCTCTCTTGGGAGGAGGAGTAATGCCCCCTGGTGTTCTGTGCCAGTGAACAGTGGGTCAGTTCTGTGCTGGTGAACGAGAAAGACGAAGACGAGCAACCCGTGTCAGTGGAGACGTCCTTATTTGTCTCTGAGATTTTGACAGTCGCGTCCCTTTGTACTTTCCTTCGAGCTCTTAGCGCGTGACAATATTGAGTCATTACCCCGCCGCGGTGGACTAGTGGCTAAGGTCCTCGGCTGCTGACCCGCAGGTCAAGGGATCGAATCCCGGCGGCGGCGGCTGCATTTCCGATGGAGGTGGAAACGCTGTAGGCCCGTGTGCTCAGATTTGGGTGCACGTCAAAGAACCCCAGGTGGTCAAAAATTTCCGGAGTCCTCCACTACGGCGTCTCTCATAATCGTATGGTGGTTTTGGGGCGTTAAACCCCACGTATCAATCAATATTGAATCATTCCCCGAGGTGATTCTTCCACACATTCTGCTTCTGCTATCTGCGACAAACCACTTATGGCTTTTTTTTTTTGCTGTCTACGATTCTTGAAGTGTCAGTCAAACACTTCGTGGAATTTTCCACGTGCTCCAGGGATTAGTCGGGCAGTGCCTCTTCCCTAGCGTAGACGCACGTGGAACGTATAACGCGGTCGCACGCATTCCCCCTAGCTACGATTTAAATTCCCCGGAGATGCTGTCGTGATATCGGGCCTCATCGGGCTTAAGCGAGGAGAGCGTCGCATGTCCTTCAAACAGGGCGGAGCTACCCGAATGTGGGACACGCGAACGATTGTGTTCATGGAGACGGAGTAAGAAAGGAATCCGGGGGCGCGGTAATCTGACGAAAAAACCTGACTTATCTCTTCGAAGCAGAAACTGTTGCCCGACATGGTCGTTCTGGAAAACTATGTCGCTCATTGTCGGTGACGTGTACGTTTGCCCCGCGATGGTATACGCTTACGCCCTAGTTTGCGGATCTCGAGGAGAGCTATATCGTGTGGTGTGCTCTTACAGACTCTGATTCACCACATCCGCTACAGCATACTCTTAGCTTTGAGCTATAGTTCGTGAACCAATGTCTCGCTTTTTAAATTGCAAATCTATCAACGCTTCAGTGGCTGATGTCCGGCATTCACATATTAAATATTTTTAAAAAATTTTCTCAGTGAAACGTGTCAATAGATGATCTCAAGAGACCAAGTCTCAACAGACCGAGTATAAGAATCCGTACTGCATTAGCTCGGACCGCTTTGGTTAAGTTGTCGAGCTTGAATGATGCTATACTGTCACGATATTGCATTCTTCTCTTTCGTTCGTTTACAGCTCCTTGTTCTTGTTCTTGTTGCCCTTAACTTGTGGCTCATACCCACTGTGACGTATCGGCCAATAATTGACTCCTTTCCCATTCCCAAGTAGTGGGTAGACAACCGGAGTTCTTCCTGCTAAATCTTCCTATCTTTCTTCATTCCTCTCTCACACCATCCGCCATTTCTAAAATAGAATTGCCTTATATTGCGACTGATACATCGCTGTTTCACTGGTATTGATCAGCCGGAAAGTCCGTATCAATGGTCAAGAGCTTGATAATCCTTTTATGGCATTCTATAACTTGTGAACTTTCCCATCTGTCGACATGCTTAGAGCGGGACTTAGCTATCTAAGTCTAAATAGCGTCCACAACATATCCAGCGCCACTGCAGCACCCACGTCTATACACGTTCACAGTGGTGCTCAACTCTCAGTCTTAGCTACAAAAGACGTTTCTCACCGTGCATGGTTGATGAGGCAGTGAATGATTTATGCGTTCGCAATTTCGTAGAGAGTGACCAAGAGAACTAGGTGTCGCTTCCAGCCTACTCCTCTTCGGTTCGCAAAGCGTGCTTGTAAACCAGAATTAGTCGCAGAAAAACAGACAAGAAAGCTCCTTCCGCGTTTAAATTTTGCTTTCTGCACCACACAGCAAGAGATGGAAAATGTTGTGGAATTCGCAAAACGCGGAAGGCCTGCCTGCCCCTCTCTGACAGTATGCAGTGGGTGCGGGAGTTAGCGGCACGTGTACCTACAAGGGGTAGGTCTCAGGACCACCTCGGGAAGGTACGTTTCTTGTGCCCACAGCACACGGGAACCAGCGAGCCTATAGCCCCTCTCGCGTTTTATTTTTGGATACAGTGCCATGCCGGGTGAACGGCAAGCATTGCGTCTCATGCGAGATTCATGTCGCCCAGCGAACACAGTCGCGCGCACGAGACGACCCACATGTGCGGCGACGGGATGACGCTTCCTCATTTCGCACGATCACCACGCTTCAACGACTCGGCGAGTGAAGTGGTGAACGCGCATGCCGCGCCACTGCCGGTGGTCACGCACTCCTCTCCCTTTTCATGTGCACACGCGCACAAACTCCGTCACTCGTGGCACCTTTCGCTGTTCATTTGCATCGTCTTCTTCTCGTCCTCTGAAGTGCTCGTATATAAGAAAAAACTCCGCGCCGAAACACTCGAGCTGAAGAGCGTGTCACGTTCTATCGTGCAGATCTCCGTCGAACCTGTTGATCCTACAGTCCCGTCCACCTTGTGAACATACATCATGAAAGCCGTGAGTATACAGACTGGGAAAGAAACCGTTATCACTTTTTTTGTTTCTAAATCAAATAGATTGCAAGCGTATAAGCCGCGCGGTACCATCTGCCGTGGATTCGTTGTATGACAATGTCCCGAAAAATGGTGTAACTTCTCGATCAGCTAACTATAGCTGGTGGTTGACAGAGACGATATTCTTAACATTATGGAGGTGCGTTGTAGTGTATCGCAATGACAATGTCACTCGCGGAGTCGCTTTTGGAATCTAAGACACAACAGATGCGTGAATTTATAAATTGAACTTCTCGAGCGGTCTAGAGGAATCTTTGTACGAACTCGGGGTGTAGTAACTTGACAGAAACGAATCATTAGAGCCTGCTTCGATTATCGCATTTAGATCTGGGGGCCTTTAGAATGAAGCATGTTAGTGTAAGAAAGAGATAGGGAGAGAAAGAGCTTATAAATCGTAATAAATTATGGTTATTCATTCACAAGCACCGTATTTAAAAGATTTCTCGTTTTATGCCATCGGTGCTCCAAGATTTCTCGCGAGCGGCTTTGCTTCATGTAACCGCGCACCTGTGGAGCGTCCAATCGGCATCTTTCTATGAGCTCTATTTTTCACCGCGTGCTGATATCACACGGATAAGAAATGCATACGTACAGTGCTGCAACAGCTTTCGCCGTTCGCTGAAATAATCAACGTGCAATCGCTTGTTTCAGAAGTCTCGCCATGTCTTACACGCTAATCTCTAAGCTTGTCGATTTACAACTGTCAGCGCGCGTTTCCCCGTACACGTGCTGACTAATCTGACATGATTAGTGGCTTGTCGAGCTGTGTTGTCCTCCTCCGAAGTGTTAATGCGGCCTGCACGACGTCGTTAGCGCTACGTGCAACGAAGTCGGCGAGCTCCAGTTACTCGAAACAGGCGGGTCGGGGCGTATCGTTCTACCCTTCGGAAGCCTTGGGAAAGGCGCGCGGCAAATCCCGCTTCAGGCTATATACTGCGGTGGCTACAGCTCTTCTCCAGTGTAAAGCAGCGGTGGCGTGTTTGTCGAGTCGGGCTCTAGATGCTAACCCGCGACACCGTTTTCGGACTTATCACGAATCGATACAAGCCCGTTCAAGCCGAATGCTAATGGCACCCAAGCGACTCGCTCCACAGTGGGAGACAAAGACGGCACGGCAAGTATCTCGAAGTATGCGGTTCTTGGTTTACGTGTTCCGTTTGCCTCTCGGCTGCGATACAACGTTCACCTTCTATTCGTTATCGCCGCGCGTCTTTCGCTCGCCCATCTGCAGCATCGCAAACGCTTCAGGCAAGTTAAACAGTATACATGGTACGATTCCTAAAAAGGATGCTGCAAGCAATGCCGATAGTACACTTTGGTATCTCCTCGTTCGGCTGCTATTTAAAAACGCCCGCGGCTCGACACTTCAGTGGCCCTGGTGGGCAAGGTATATACCGATTTCTTCGGGGAAAATGGAGCGGAAAGTGAGCGAGAAATCGAGCGGCACATCGAAGAACGTGTGTGTGTATGCCCGGTGGATGTTTTTCACCTCTCCATTCTTGCACAAGTACAAAGAGCGGCTCACGGCGACGACGCTGGTACTGTCGTACCAAGCCGCGTTATAGTGCGACGGAGCACGCGCAGTTTTCTAAAGCCTTCAGTCATATTGTTAATGGTCTTTTGGCACCTAAGTGGACATCTGGGCACGTTGGTGTTCCATGATGAAGAATGGTAAAGCGCACTGAAAACGAGGACACTAGGAGGGCACACACGCGCATATGCGCTATGTATGTGTGTGTGTGTGTGTGTGTGTGCCTTCCTTGTGTCCTCGTTTTTGCCCTCCACTACGGCGTCTCTCATAATCATATGGTGGTTTTGGGACGTTAAACCCCGTGTATCAATCAATCAATCAATCATGTCCTCTTTTTTAGTGCATTATTACCATTCTTCACCTTTTGGCACCGTTTGGTTTGTTTGGCCCCCTTTCAGTCAAGTTTTATTTGGCCATGCATAGACGTGCCAATGAAGAAACATTGAGAAACCCGATGTTACACAAAATTCAAATCAAATCAAATCAAACACAATTTTATTTCAACATTTGTACAATGTTGAGGACCATGAACAAGAAGCCAGCAAAGCTTGGCAAGGTTCATGGCCCCAATGCACTAATATTGAAACTTTAGCACTCGAAAAGGGACAGCGAAAAAGACGAAGCAGGATGAAGTGTATACAACACGCCCAAACGCTAACTCTAAAAAATAATTGGAGAAGTTAGGGAAAGGGATCTTACTAAAGAAAAGATGGCGTGGGTAGTGCGCAATTCCCCAATCCTTTTTTTTTTCTTTACGTATTTCTTTCATGGTGTCTCAACGCAATGCTAATTAGTTTATGCGTTACAACTGCGTCACAATGAACATAACGCGTTCTTACAGGTCCTTAATACAATCTCTGAAAGTTCGAAGAGCACGAGGCATGATATTATATATCAATGGCTGCCTGGACATATCGGTATTACCGGAAATCAATTAGCCGATGATGCAGCCCGCTTAGCCCATGAAGGAACCCGTGTAGTCCCGATTCCTCTATCAAGGAATGATGCAGCACGACAACTTTACCTGCTGGCTCGAGATCTCACACGCACGTTCTGGTCGTCTACCAGCTTCCAAAGGTGTCAATTTTATGAACTGGATCCTTCGCTCAAGCTAAAGCTACCATCACAACTTTCCCGCTCTGATGTGACACTGTTATGCCGCCTTTGGTTGGGTGTTGCATTTACAAAGGTGTACTCCTTTCGCATTGGTATGGCAGACACTCCTACATGCGACTACTGCGGAGCTGAAGAGACCATCGAACACGTCCTGTGCAGCTGCACTTGCTACGACACACAGCGGTGCCAGCTCCGGATGGTTTTGAATCAACTTGACCCCGGACCACTTTGTGTGCAGAAGATACTAGGACCTTGGGCATCTGCCTCAGTTGCGCAGAAGGCGACTAAAGCACTGCTACTTTACTTAAAGTCAACAAACTTGAGCGACCGCCTGTAGACTGTGTGTGATCCCCGAGTGTGCTCGTGATTGTGTGAACCTTCTCATCTCTCTGCAACCTCTTTTCTCCCCTTCATCCCTTCCCCAGTGCAGGGTAGCAAACCAGATTTGCGTCTGGTTAACCTCCCTGCCTTTCTTTGCATCTTTATCTCTCTCTCCCTCTCTCTCTCTCTCTCTCTCTCTCTCTCGAAGAGCGAGGTGTTTCTAGTTTTCCCGGCACAATTCGTGATGACAGCAGTCTGTTAGTATGGCGTCATGAGAAGAAAAGTTCTTGATTGGTTCACTATATGCACGAGGAATATTAGTAGTGAATCGTCTCGCATTTCGCTGAGTCATTCAGCTCGTTCTGCACTGTCAATCTCGCACGACTATCACGCGCGATCAACTGAGTTCACTCTGTTTCGCGCGTTTTTCGACTGCGCATGCGTAGATAACATCTTGTAGCTGAAAAGCGTGAATTTCTAATGTACTCAACGCTTAGTTCGAAAGCTAGAAAGGAGGAGTAGGAACGGCGTTGTTTCAGCCGACGTAACAGTTCCGCGTTTGATATTACAGACGGGGAATGAGGCCGGTATCCCTGAGAAAACGCAACCGCGCTTCAGTTGCCTTTCGGAATTGTGGTGGGACGCTCCGTGGTCTCAGCATCTCCTCGGGGTGCGTTCGAAGTCGCAAGAGCTGAGACTATAGGCAGATATAGATGTACTGCCCATATTTCCCATGATGACTGAACGAACGTGGTGCCACTGTTCGCACCAGTAAATACTGAAGGAAACTATAAGCTTTATAGGGGCGTTTTAAGATTCTTTTGTGATGTGATCCTTTTATTGCCCCTCTGTCGTTGCATAATTTCCTCTTACTCTCAGCTGCAGCTCGTGTTCGTCTTCGTCGCTGCTGCGTGCGTCTGCGACGCCAGTGTGCTGCCCGCGGCAGTGCCGGCGGCCCCGTTGGTGGCTGCTGCCCCTATTCCAGCACCGTATGTCCTGCACCACGCGCCGCTGGTTCACCACCCCGTCGTAGCTCACCCTGCGCCAGCTCCCGTATTGGCAGCGGCATTGCCTGCCTACTCGTACACGTACACGTCACTCGCCCAGACGCATCCCGTTGCCGCCGCTGCACCGCTTCACGTGGTTGGAAAGTAGAGCTCGCCTAAGCGTATAGCCGGAAGCGGGTAAAGGCTCCAGCTGTACAGGTGAGTGCACGTTTTCTTGATTAACGGCTGTTAACATGGGACGCTCGTCACAAAGACATCTTTATCCGGCCAGCTCATGGGATCCCCATTTTTCAAGCTTCTTTTTTTCGTGTTATTGTGGCCTAATTCGATCGAGCATACTTTCCGACTCAGCTAAAGGGAGTCAGCAACGCTGGCTCGGCGTATTCTTTGGTTCAACAATACACTTCAGCAACTAGGGGCGCGTTGCCAGGTTTTTTTTTTTTTTTTCAGGGAAGAAAGAATCCGACCTTTGGGTCAAGGGAAGGGAGGAAGGGTTCCGACTCTCCAAAACACTTCAATAGCTAGGTCACTGCCAGCGTTGAAGCAATTTATTGGCGAGCAGTTCCGTCTCCATCACCTTAGGTGAAAATGATCGTCATCGCTGGCCATTGGCATTGTTCCCAGCTTTGCGTGTGCTGTTTTTAAGTGTATGATACTTAATGAAATTATTAGTTATTTTTGTTTAAATACTATTTAACGTTCACTTATGGTCGCTGAAGACAAAGCCAAGTGTGCACTAAAAATTGATGTCTTTGAATAACGCTTGCTCAGGATTTTCTCCTTCACAGGGAACGGGGGTGGGTGAAGGTTTGTTGCAGCCTGCGCTCCTTTTAAACTATTGTATAGAGTTGACCTTGCGCCCCCCCCCCCCCCAAAAAAAAAAAAGTGACTAGGTGTCCCCTGCTACGTGAGCACGTTTCTGCCTTCAAGTTCCGCAGGCATTTCGTGTTCTATACTTCTCGCTGGTCTGGTGCATACGGTTATTATTAAACTCAGCGTGCGACATCCTCCATGCGGTTGTTCACCATCTGGCAACCACGGGCCGTTGACAGGTTGCCAGGCGTCCGCGTACAGCACTCAACTCCCGATAGCTATCGCGAGTCAATCAATCAATCAGTTTATTATCATGTCATAAAAGAATGTTACAAGGAGTAAAATATACAGAAGAGGGTCCCAAAGTACAAGACTGCAACGGGACCCTCGCTGCAACGGGACCGTCGTCAGAGATCGGTGATGCGAACGATCGACTCGACCTTCAATGCCACTATGCGCGTCCCTGAATTTTGTGCGATGACCTTTCTTTGTGCAGGGAACGGAGTCCAGGTTGCCCAAGCGATCGCAGCGCAACAGTGCTCCATCCACGGGAATAAACGGCGCCGGAAAAAAGCAGTGTCTCCACCGAAGACAAGCGTGTAACGACTCTACAAAGAATATTGTTTCGAGAAATGTGACGCATTGAAGAGTGGTACTATATATGAAAGCAATAAAAGCATTCCAGGGGATGTAAAAATTTTTTTGACTTACTATCTGATCAGATCTACGTTTTCTGGTGGCTAGTGAGACCTCATCAGATATACCTGCTAAACACGAAATTCATGCGGTGTGAAAGGTAGTCTATACTTTCATTTTTTTTCAATTTTTTTTTACAATAACAGAAATAGCGAGTTATTTCTTATGCCTGTTTTCGCACCCTATGCTAAATATAATACTGACGCTAAGTCATCAATCGGATCTAAGCGCGACTAATCAAAGCGCTAGCATTCTGAAAAATCAATGTGATGCGCATGTCCAGGAAACGCATAATCATCGTTGTCATGAAGCATTCCTTTTGACTGCCCCGATATATTTCCTTCGTGAACGTTTGAGAAGTGTCGTCTACATCTCACACACAAACAACTCGTAGACAACAGTGTCTTACAAACCCGTTTCATTTTCTTTGATGACATTCAGGATATCTATACGAATGCAAACGTTGCTACGAGGTTCAAACTTTGTTGGAGTAGATGAGACACCTGACGCCAACTGATAACACGTGGTGACTATTTGCACAAACACCAATTATACTACAGTCAGTGCTGTCTATTGTGACACAGAGAGGCACTGCAAAGCTGTATAGTTATCGACAAATGCTCAACGCAGCAGTATGGAAACGGTAAACACACAGAATACTTTTTAGGGGCGAAGCTCCTTAGGGCGTGGGCTGTGCGTCCCCTGTAGCCTGTATGTAGCCACCTCTCGTTTAGTTCTTGCAGTGTCCACTAGATGGCGGTACCGTCTCCTGTATGTCGCCTCTTCTCGTTTAGTTCTTGCAGTGTTCACTAGATGGCGGCTCCGTCTCCTGCATGTAGCTACCTCTCGTTTAGTTCTTTCAGTGCTCACTAGATGGCGGGACTTGTAGCTGATGATGAAAAGATGCAAGATGTTATGAACTAGACGGCGGTACTTGTAGTTGATGATGAAAGATGCGAGATGTTATAAAATAGGAATGATGTCACATATGACACGTGTCATTGGTGGAAGGCAATCGTTCGATTTAGTGCGGTGACGTACGCTAGGGGGAGCATTGTAATAAAATCGAGTAGGCAAAATGTACGGAAGATTCATGGTTTACCAGGTTTTCCTCCAGAGCTTCGCCCACTCATCATCATTCACTTCGTGGATATGGCGGCACTTTTTCTCAGCTTGGATATACGGCCCGTTCCCATGCAGATACGCTGCACTCTGGTATCCCCAGCTACACCCAGACAATGTTTTTACAGTTGTTTTACATGTCTCACAGTAATTGAGTTACAAAGTATTTATGTACACCTGGAGGTCCGGTAGTCAAAGGTAGCCGTGGAAGATCCTTGGCAACTACATATAGCGAAACAAACGAAACAGTATTTGTAAGAACTCCACAACAAACAGTGCTGTTTGTTCAAATGTGCTCAAGCTAAGGCTCTGTAGCTTAATTAGTTGAATAACAAAGATACTTTCTCTCGGAAGACAAGCTGAATTAGTTGAATGAGTGGTCGATTCCACTCTTTATGTTTACGAAAGATAGTGCGCTGAAGTTTGAAAGGTCACTAATTTCTGCAAACCATTACGCAGCTTGGTACAGCGTGGATAGGAGTGGTGACGAAGCAAAATGTATAGAGGAGAGCGAATAAGGAAGGCCACAATCTCAAGGCACTCATTCATACACACCAGCAGTGGTGGCCGAGTGGTTAAAGCATCTGCCTCCATTGCGGGAGCTACCGGGCTCGATTCCCAGTATCATCCTTCTATCTAATGGGTGCAGAGGTGCCCCAACTGGTAGTCGTTGTTCTAGGTAGCTATTTATTGAGAAGGTGGCCTCTACTTTCTCCTTTCACCACCCTCTCTCCCCAAACTACGCTGAGCTGCACTCGCTTATGCGTTGCAGAAAAACACCGACGCACAATGCACAAATTCATGGGGTCTCTGTTGCATTCGCTTAACGACTTGAAGGTGAAAGCCACCTTGCTGTTCTTTTCTTCGACGTGTTTGAAGTCACTGTATATGCTCCGTAAAGGTTCCATGTACAGTGGCTTTGTATGAGCTGGTCCTCCGCCACTCCCTTCCGTAAGCTTTCTGATCCTCTTCTGATTTTCTCCTGCCCCTTACCTCCATCATCGGCCCACCCACATTAGAACAAGCGACGATGTCTTGTGAAGCCGTCACGTTATTTGACGCTGTAGTGACATCGGTATGATGTCATCGAATCCTTGGTATTTGTGACGTAACAATGACGTCATATTGTGCCGTCACCACGTCATGATTCTTTTTTTATCACTCTTGTTGACGCTACCGACGCTCAACGTTTGCGTTGTGCTCGGCTGTGGACCCAAAGGTGGCGGGTTCGATTCCTGCGGCGTCGGTCCAATTTTGATGAAGGCGAAATGGTACAGGACCGTGTACTCTGTTGCTGTCAGCGCGCGTTAAAGAATACCAGATGGTCAAGGTTTTCGAAGCCGTCCTCTGTGGCGTCTCCTTATTATTATATCGCTGCTTTGGGATCCCATATATTACTTTAGGGGCGAAGCTCCTTATAGCGGCACCCGTTCGTCCCTCGTAGCCGTTGTAGGAGTGTGTAACAAGTATGACATTTTGACCTCCTATAGGTCGGGTGCCTGTGAGATATTTCTTCTGTGCGTTGTTGAACAATAAAAGATAGTGCTCAGTGCACATGCCAATAGGCTGCTAAGGGAGAATGAGAGACAGGAGAATTCGGCTTTTAGTTAACGCGCACGCTGCAAATTTTTCATTGTTCAACAATGCACAGAAGACAAGAAAGGGTTTCTACGTTATACTCGCTGGGCGTAACCTCCCAGGTTTTAGAAAGGTTTAGCGAGCGTTGGGCCACAGTGCCATGAATACAGTTAACTAGTATATACCATTAACTCGAGGTGTTTAAAGGTGCGAAGTAGACACGAAGCGCAAGCCGTAAGAAAGTGTGCATGTGCCTCCTCTAGTTCAGTCCTTGGAATATCCGCTGGATTGCAGTGCTTCCTATACGATGAATATATGATGAAAAGATGCGAGATGGTGGTACTAGGAATGTTGAATCGGTGGACGAACGGACACATAGACAGATGCATGGGCGGACGCACGGATGGCTGCACGGACGGATGTACGCATGGACGGACGCAGGAGCGGATGCATGGACGATAGCAGGGGTGGACGCACAGATGAACGTGCGGACGCACGAACAGACACACGCACGGACGGGCGGATGGACTCACGGGCGGCCATACAGACTCACGCATGGATGGACGGAAGCAAGAACGAATGGACGGACGGATGCTTCGTTCCACTATCCATCATTCACTCCGTGGATAGGCCGCCATTTGTTTTTATAAGGTATATGTTGTTTTCGCCTTAAAAGCGCGTTTGTTACACTCGAGCTATTTCTGCACAATCGACCCCCGATTTGATGACTTGGCGGTGGCCCGGCAGCACTCTCGGAACCGAACACAATACCGTCCGCATAACAGACGCACGGGCTACGACAGCAAGACCATACCGGTTGTTTACGAAATCGTGGGTGGAGTTGCACTTTCTCCTCGCCTCATCAAGGTCGCGAGAGCGCTTTTCGAGAAAAGCAAGAACAAAAACAAGTTTCCTCTCCTTCTCGACAGGAAGAGCAACGTGAGTTGCACATGGAAGAGATCGCGGGTGGCCTATCGGTAACGAGGGGCTCGGGGTCGCTACTGAAAGGCAGCAACTGGCTGGAAGCGAGCTCAATGTCGATTGCCGCTAGGCACGTTGCTGCATAGACGCTACGCGAAAACGGGAGTTCGCTGTATGTGAACGGGCACGAAACCTTGCGGTGAAATCGCGTAATAGAAAAGGATGAGGTCGGCGTCGCGATGCGATCGCGTGTGGCGCCTAGCGGGAATTCTCAAGAACGCGGCCGCGTGAGGTATTTGGTAGGCCGGCTTCGGATATGAGGGGCGAAGCTCCTTATTGCGCGGCATGTGCGTCCCCCGTTGTGGCACATACCCGCATACCAGTGGCACATACCCACCCTCGAGCACATATCCGCATGTCCACATGTTACGAAAAACGTAGCCAACGGCGTCGTTATCACGCTCCCAGTGTTAACGAAGCTCTGACAGCAAAAATGTAGCACATACTCTCGTTTAGTCCTTGAATTTTCCGCTGGATGGCAGTACTTGTATATGATCAATATATGATAAAAAGAAGCGATATGGCGGTACTTGAAGTGTTCACTAGATGAACGGACTCACGCACAGACGGACGCATGGACGGACACACGAACGCAGGCACGAACGGACGCAAGTAAGGATGGACTGACGCACGAACGGACGCAAGAACGGACGCCCGTATGGATGGAAGGACGGAAGAACGGACGCTTCGGCACGACTCATCAACATTTATTCCGAGGATATGCTGTTAATTTTTTCGCCTTACCTTGGGCTGCACTCACGCGCCTCCCCTTCCCAAAGGAGCAGGCAGGCGTTGTGCCCCTATAGGTGGCAGTTGTCAGCCTGTTCGCTTCATATTTCCTCTTTCTTCATGTTTTCTATGTACTCGAACATAATATTAATAATAATAATAATAATAATAATAATAATAATAATAATCACGCAATGCCTGTTGGCCCTGCTCGTGGGAGCAAATAAGAGAGAGAAATAAAGAACAGCTGCAATGCCAACCTGGGATGGGATCCACTGAAACTTTATGTTAAAACTCTTGCCAATTAGGTGTTTAATTAGTGCCAGAGATTTCCTGGTGAACTTTTCTTGGGGTAGGCCATAATGCAGTCTTTGTAGCGATGATTTGGAGTCCGTCAGCACTACAACATCTCGTGCAGAAAAGGGTCGATCGCAATTTTCGCAAAGCCGCCGTGATTGCTGCACTTTCTACCGTTGTGGACAAAAGCACGCGACCCAGGCGGCCCGACCATGACACGCCAAGGCAGGGTATGCAGAAAGCCGCTGCGCAGCTATCTGTTTATGTGCGCACTGATCCGTCGGTGTA